CATATCTTAGTCAATCTTACTCAAATTTGATTAATAAAGTATCTATCTGAAGGGGATTTTAAAATTATGAATTTAGGTACTAATAGTACACATTTATGTTAAGGATTGAGTGAGATATTGTATTTTCTTTGTGTTTTTCAACTTTGTGACGAAAAATCACGTGATCTTGCCATTCTAAGGAATTATGCAAGCAGCAGTAATATAAATATTCTGGAGAAGGAGGTCCTTTGAATGTGTGATAGCCATGGTCCAGAACTGTGATTGGACGAATCGCATGCTATCGAAAACAGAATCCGAAGTATTTGTGATCATGAGACTAATGGGCCGTCCCGGTAAATTCGAAACTCCCTTAGCAAGGTCATACCTAAACCATCCGGTCAGATTTTATCAAATTAATTGCTTAATGTGCTTCGTAGGTATACCAAAGCTGTCCATTCCCGTCAAATGTGCCGACATCTTGTCCTTCCCATAGTATATCTGACCCTCCGAACCTCCGCGCCGTGGTCACATTTAAGTACCCAAGCGGAATTCCGTTGTTGCGCCAATAATCAAGATCTGTTCCCCACTGCAGAATCGTTAGTTTGGTGCCCGCGAAATTAATGGCAAAGCTAAGAAACCGAACTTACTAAAAGATATCCCTGCATATCAATCCTTACGTTCTTCAAGCCAGTCGTGTCCATTACTCTTTCAATGTGGTATGTGCCACTCTCGAATATTATAGTACTGTCGTAGGAACATCGACTGAATACCTCCAGAATTGCCAGAGAGTCATCACCACCAGACGCACTTAGCCTGCACACTCTCTGAGTGGCATTGGGAGAAAACCGTGCAAGGGTCAAGGTACACAAAGATAAAAAGAATGGCGGCAGATAGAGCATCGCCGAAAAATGGTGGCTCCCATGATTGCAGAGAGCAAACATATATCATTTATATTGTGTTATATTACACGTCGGCCCGCTTCTGCCTGTCACCTGGCATAAGAGCAATCAAGAAGATAATCTTCCAACGTCATGTGCACGCCGCGATTGTCAGATCAAACAAAGTACAGAAGACCTGAAAATACTAAAGCTGACAGAATGAGACATTAACCGGAAATGAGAAGGGTGAAGGATGGTGTATTATCTTATACATAAGACATCGAATTCTTCGTATCGATACAATAGTCCTTACCCAATAACACTCCTGCTGTCTCCATGATCTGCTCCTCAGATGGGGTGCCATCTTCAGAAAACTCAGTAGAATGCAAAGCTGCTTGAAGATAAAGTCTGCCCCGTTTGCATGCGCGCTTCGCCCAATATAAGGGCGGGACCAGGCTGACACTCCTTGATGCTGGAGCTGCAAGATAACAAAGGTTATAAATACCCTGTTGAAAATCATCCGCTCGGAATCGGCTGTCGTCGACCAAGACATTGTACCGCATAGCACGAACCGAGTCTTGGGCCACCGCAGACGAGTAGAGGTAGAAGTTGAAATTTCCAATACCCGTGACCTCTTTGTCGACGACTGTTCCAGGTTTGACCAGCTGTGTTGTGCTTGCATTTACATCCTTCGTTGCGTAGAACTGGATGCGCCGGCTCTTGTTACAAATGATAAACGTCAATTTGGGTCTGTAATCCTCGTCAAAGTGCCTAAATGCTTCTCGAATGCCTGATACGTCAGAATCCAGGACCGCTTTGATTTGCCCATCCGAAACGCCGCCCCGGAATACAACGACGCGTCTAGGCAGAACGGTGGTGTGTTTCCTGTATTCCTCTATGCGTTCGATTATCATTTGCTTTATATCTCTGATTATCTGGTGATGAAACAAGTTAGCTTGATGGTAATAGTGACGCCAAACCGACAAACCTCTTTGCAAGGCGATTGAATGCGTAAGCTTGCAGGATAATGCACGAAGTCCATATCACGACTCGCTACAACGGCTGCGATAGAAGGTGTTCCTTTAAATGATTTTCCATCAGGATGAATAACATCCATTCCAACCAACATCGTTTTCTTCAACCATTGTGTCGCGCCCTCGCTAAGCATATGATTAATTCCTCCGAGTTTTATATTCAGCTTCTGGGCAAGGGTGGTAAGGTGACGGTGTCGGCCCTTTGGATTGAGTAGCTCCGGCCCCGAGACACAAAGACACGGTATACCGAGATCGAGATCGCAGAGCAGTCTGACTTTTGCATGGATGTGCAAGGCTTTCGTTGGTAATAAAGCAAGGAGAAATTTTGGTTTGTCAGATAGGGTTCGGAGCTTCTGTTCTATGCCATCGAGCACCTCAGAGCTGGAAGTATCATATAACTTCACGTGTGGGAAAGTCAGGACATGCAGGCGTGGCAGGGCTGTATCGAGTTTCATACCGAAGGAACGACATTTGGATACGAAATCGATGATTAAATGTCGTAATCTAATATCGCCTCCATTCCGGTCGTGATCCAAATCTTCGTTATGCACAACAAAGACAGAAAGTCTGGTCACCTCTGCAGGTCTTGAAAGATGGATCCTACGAGTGTTCCAGCGTCCGTTAGCAATTGACGATTCCCCCGTCAGGTAAAACACCCTCGGAGACGGTAGGGATCGTGCGGGAACACGCATCATATCACAGGAGATTTTGATTCCGAACATTGCTATAGGATGATCGGGGCGATCAAGACCGAACATCTGAAGACCTTGTGTAAAAAGCTTGTTCTTGTCAACTCCTCTCATATATACTCTTCGAGTAGCTAGCGTAGCGGTTTCGCCTTTTGGGATATCTCCAGAACAGAATTGACCGGGATCAATGTTGCACAATTCGGCAGGCACAAAAACGTCTTCCTTCGTTCCGACATTGACAACTGGAAGGTCATCTGCATGTTCCAGTAGGATACCAAACTCTGCATGGCCAGTGAGGCCACTATACAATTACGACCAATGCAAACAGAAGATATGCTCACCTTGTTCAAAATATTTCTCTACCGAAACTTGACCCACACCTTCAACAGTAATAACCGTCGTACTCGCAGATCCTGGTCCGAAGCCTTTAACTTTGTGTCGCCGTCGATAGCCGAGATATGTTGTTGTCACTTTAATCTGGTTATAAAACGCCATTGCATTTGAGACATTGCGCATTTGCAAGACCAAGGCAATAAAGGCATCACTAAGACGATTGTAGGGTACGTAAATTGCACTCTTGCTCTGGTTCATGTTGATTGCCAGGCTGTGACTTATTGTGATGCTTGTTGCGGAGAAAGCCTTGCACGCCTCAAGATTGGCGCTGAGAAGCACTGGGGCCTCGAGAGGTCGGAACGAACTTGGCAAGAAAGCGTAATTGTGTCTTCTAGTACGAACCCCAGCCTGAGCCGCATGCGACGCTAAGAGCAGATTGAAAGCCGAGATGATAGGCTGAGGAGAGTCATGACAGCAACCTTCTCGAAGACACCTTTAACATGTCGCAAAAGCTCAGTGATTCAGGGATGGGAAATGGTAGAATGAGGACATACCGATTTAGATCTGCACATCTCAACTGTCTGGGACCTACGAGTCGGAAAATATATTCTTTCTCTATCACCGCCGGTTGCAAGCTGCCCTCGTCTTCAAAGAGGACGATGGTAGTGGTAAAGTTTGGCGGCAGAGCTCTTCCCGCAATGAGCCGACTAGCACCATCGTGCGCTATGCAATGAATGAACGGAGCAACCGCTTCAGATTGCTCAAACAGGAAGAACAACGTTTTACGCATTTCGTTGTCTTCCGCCCGAACCCTGGGTTCAATCCGTACAGTATAATCGTAAAGAACTAGATCCTCAGGATAGTCGAGCTTGAACAGATTAGCGCGCAGTGAAATTGGAGTACCGCGCTTCTTGCGATTGCAACGAATAGGCTTGTTATTTCGTAGCTTGTCCAGTGTAGAAAGAGAATGTAAGAATGAGGCTAGTTCGTTTAGGTTAGAATCATCCTGACGAAATGCGCTCTCCGCAAGAGCAATGGTCGAAGATATTACGGCTCTGGCGGGGGCGTTTGGATCATATGAGACGTTGATCGGTGGGACGCCTTCGCGCGGTCTTGGTCGCCTGCCTTCGCTGCGACGCAGCTCCCATGGACCGTCCATTAGAAGTCGAGATACGTTGAACTTCGGAGATTGAGAGGCTTGGCGGTGGGAAAGAAGCTGGGGTGAAAAATCTCGTATAGCACGCCTAAGGCGCAGTGAAGGCGCATTGCATATATGTGAGTACCATTGTCACAGTGGTAACGCGCCGCATTGAGTGTAGTCACCTCCATGCTTGCATACTCTGAAGCAGAGCAACAGAGCTGTACTTTTAAGGATCCTGTCAAGTCATTTACGTACTGCGGCGACAAAAGCCTCAGAAGCTGCGCTCTGACTAGGTGAGTCGTTGTGAAGGATATTGTATACATAGACGGTTGATGAATAGAACATTACTGCGTTATGCCACCCATCACTGTTGGGCCCAGGAATCAGGACTTGGCCCAGCGCTAAACTCGCATTAGGAACATAGAGAATAATCCGATAATATTTGATGGCACGCAAAGTAGAAAAGATCCTTTAGGGTCACCAACGGTCACCATAGTGGTCAAGAATCAAAATAAGTAGGTCTGTCGCGTTGAAAAACTCTGGAGTCAAGTTGCACATTGCGCCTGTTTGTATCACGTGATTATACGCGTCGCGAGAACACCGGCCCTAACGAACGATCTATCCAGTGTTTCTGCCAGACCTTCATCCTGGACATCTTATTTTATCTACCCAACTTCTACTTCCAAGCCACCAGATTTCCTATCTGGATCTTCACTCCCTCCCAATCCTCCTTCACTCCCTCCATCACCATAGGCCAAAACGGTTTTGACTGGTCCGTCAAATTGAACTCGACCCCAAAATAACCAAGCAAGCGTGGTGAGTACGATCAGCCCGCCAATAGCGACTACCGCGTAGTTCATATTTTGGGCATTTGTTGGGTGCGCGGTTGGGAGAATAAAGAGGATGCAAATAAAAACCGTGAACTGCGCAGCCAACAATTGGAAGTGAGTGTCTGTGAAAAAAGCATGTACAGAAGGGCGTACCAGGAAGCTTGCAAGATTAATGGCCCAGGACCAAGATCCGAGATGAAACGGTCCCCGTTCTTTCAGCCTATAAAAAAGCTGACCTTATTATCCTTGCGAAAGGAATAGGAGAAGCAGGGGCTCACGAAAGGGGCCAGAAGACACGGATGATAATAGGCTGGAGGTAGCTCAGCATGACAGCAACCGCAGCGGACGAAAGTATTGCATTAAACTATTCGTTGGGTCAACCTTCCGAAACCCCACACTTTACGGAGTATATGACTCACTGCGATGCTACTCCCAATATACGCGCATGATATTACACATCCAACAAGCACGCTCACCCAGACGCCCACATACGGCGCTTGACCCCTATTTAATCTCATTAAAGAGCCTTTCACCGCAGTAGGGACTGCATCATCCCGGGCGAGCGCATATAACAATCTCGCACTCGCGGTGAAAGCCGTCGCGGCAGCCATCCCCTGAGCAAGTCCTACGATAACAAGACACAATAAAGCAAGCTTTCTCCCAGCCGCGTCGACGAAGAGTTGTGCGACGGGGAGGGCAAGCGTTGATGATTGGATGGCAGGGATGGATTGAACACTGAACAGGAGCGAGAGCATGTATGCTACTCCGACGATCCATGAGCCTATAATGGAAACGACTATGGCGAGTGGCGCGAGTAACTCGGCGCGTATGGCCTCTTCGGCTACTTGCGCCGCTGTTTCGCATCCCTCTAACGAGTACACAGCCTGTATAATAATCAACGGTATAAGAGGGAGATCAAACATTACACGTCCCGTACCTGTAGGAACCCTAGGAGGACAACAAAGCCTTTTGAACCCCATCCGGTGAAGCTGAAGAGGCGGAGGATCAGCACAAGTAATCAAGGCCATCAACATCACTCACTTTTCGAGGTCTGTAAACACGAATTCTGCCGAGTTCTGAACAAAATAATCGAACAGTTAAATAACTCTGTTCACTCCTTGGTAATTGCGCAACGCACTAATTTCGGCGCTTTGACTAGCAATACCACAGCAAGGATGACGGTTCCAACAAGCGTCCACCATACATTAAACGCGCTCATTCGACCAATTGCAGTCGTCCCAATGGTGTTGATAATACCGGAGAAAATGTTAACGCCCCAAGCTACTACAGCGATCTCGACACGCGTCAATGTCCTCCCAGAACCAACCTCCGCTAAGCAAGCGATGTAGAGAGCCGTGCTTCGTTGCTCTCGTATCAGATGGATTTCATTCTCGGAATTCAGAACGTGTCACCTAAGATTTCCTGAAGTCCCAGTGAAAATCATCGCTATCGTGTATATCCAACCTGTGAAGACTGAACGGTATCGCATTAGGTTCTTCATCGTAGAAATGGCAGTGTGCTACACATATCCTCACAACCGAGAATCGGGGTATCAGGTTTCATTCTGCAGACCCAGAAGTATAATCCACCCATAGTCGGACTTTACGTGTTTGCTGTCAGCCTATTTAATCGCTGGGTACTTATCGTACGCACTAAGCACTGCATATCTCCGCCAAACAGAGAGCGATTAAAAGCATGAAGAAGCTACAAATCTTGAACGAAGTCATCCTAGAGGTCTCAGGTTGGGAAAAAAATTCTCAACGCACATTCCACCCCCAAAACAATCCTAATGGGCCCCCAGAGAACAGACCTGTCTGGAACGCACTGCTCATACCAGTAAGGATCCCAATAGCACAGAACGACAATCCAAGGACGCCAAAGAGCGACATATTTCGTTTGAATTCAGGCCTGTATCCCAGTTCTTGTAGTCGTCTATCTGAATCGGAGAATGCATTGTCTGGAGGAGACGCTTCGATTGCGATGATGTCTGAAGACATCTTAGCAGCCCTTCCACAAGCCCAGCGCTAGCACTTGAGTCAAGTCAAAGAGTATGGAGAGTTATATATCACAAGGCACATGGAACCCGAGGTTTGCTTGATTGAGCGCTCCTCCACTTTGTTCCGCTATCAAACAGTGGGAAGTAATAGAAATACGCAGGCTAAAGGCGGCCCGAGGTTGATGAATGGCCGATGACATGATGCCATATATAGCTCCCGGACCCGACACGCAGAGGAAAACCCGACTTCTCCTTCTTTCAGAGATAAGTGCATTTACAGGCAACAAGTGTATATGAGCGAGCATGCCTTACTCTTGGAGGGCTTCGTGGACGAATACGTTGAAAAGCAACGAGGTTGAAGATTGGCACCTTCCGGAATAAGTAGGCGGCCAGCCAGGAATTTCTCACGGTTGCCATTAGAAGATTCTAAGCAGAAGCAGGACGTGGCACAGTATTTGGTTTGGTAGAGCACACCCTGGCTGACCGATGAATTATTTGGCTTTTACTTTGACAAACAGGAATGAACGGATGACTTAGATCATAGTCATCAGACGGATCCACTGTTGCATTTGTGACTGACATACTCAGACAGACTCTGCAGAGTGCTCAGTAATTTCGCGAACATCACGTGCCTAGAATCATACAGGAAGTTGCACTGCAGCATGACTTGTCTTGTCATAATTCTCAAGGCATTCTCTATTGCGTGCACTCGTGTCGTTCTATTACAAGCACTTATACATTTCGAAATTTAGATACAACTCATCTTTGCCGAGCTTCTTGAGAACTGCGCCACGAAGAAGGAGACTTTTTCATTCGGGACTCTCCGGGGAAGCTGGTACTGAGAACATCGAGCAACGTTTTATACACTTCCCCGACAACCTTCGGGACACTCAGATCTAGTCTATTCCCATAAAATCGGCATCCCATACGTTTGGAAATTGAACGGAACCAGTGCTATTGATAGTTTGAGTGGAAATACGCATCTTCTTGTATTCAATTTCGTACGTTTGACGAAAAGACGGTAGGGAGTATCTTCTGCTTCTGTCCCTTAACGTGTTCGCCGCAGCTTGTCGTAAATTTGTATGTCTTTGAGTGAATATATGCTCGTCCTTTCGTGCATCAAAAACCGGTAGTTCTAGGTAGCTCCGGTAATTTCAAGCCGGTTTTGTTCGAGTCGCCAGTCAACATACAACTTACCCACCAACGTCTTCCATCCATGTCTCACTCAGATTCAACAACACAAAATGTACCGCCTGGCGACGTCGGCGCCAGGCAATGGGGAAGAGGTATTTGTCATTTGTGCGACATTATTGCGAAATGAATTTTGAGTAATAATAATTGTGTTCGATGCAGTACTCATCTGCGGGGGTACCGACTGGTCTGTTGTTCTTACTCCCGACCATCATGATGCTCGGTCTGACCAACAGTCGGCTTCTGTCAATAGGATCAACCTAGGGAAGAAAGACAAGAAGGGCGCAAAGGAGGAGTCCGAACAGTACGTTTCTCGCGTTATTTGTTGACCAGAACTGAACACCAACGTCGTCGAACATTACTCACCGCACTCAACCGATCACTCACCACAATTCTGCAACAGCCCTGACCTGACTGAACCCCACATCCTTCGCTCGCTTGCTAATGTTGCCGTCACCTCCATTCACGCGTCGGGTGCAGGCTGCCACGTCGTTGCACTCGCGCTCGACGGCTCCGCGTTTCTCTTCGGACGGAATGCTCCCAGTGCACTAGGCCGTCCTATGCGCTCTGGCGAACCAAGTCAACCCCCGGGCGCCGTGAGCGAGAATACACCGCGTCGGTTGACTCCTCAGATGCTCGGAGCGTCGAAGGGTGTGACGTTCGTCCACGCTGCGGTTGGGCGCAGTCATACCTTACTTGTGGGAAGCAATGGCGATGTGTGGACAGCTGGCGCGAATTCTCTTGGCCAGGTACGTTCTTATCTCTTCTCCGCGTGATGAACTTTGCTTTCTGAATTTTAATACCGCTGATAATAGTGCGGACAGCCACAATGTCCGGAAGTACCTACTTTCACACTTATACGCGGTCCATGGCCGAATGGCGAGAAGGAGAAGATTGTAAAAGTTGGCGCCGGCATTAACTTTTCAATGCTTCTGACTGAATCCGGGAAACGTGAGTAATGGAACGTCTTCTTCTCTTTCTAATGTGCTCCAACGGTAATTAACATTAATTGGGGTAGTTTACGCACTCGGAAGTGGTGAACATGGTCAGCTGGGTAATGGACGTACAGGAGAACACATTGCGACTGGGAATAAAACCATGTTTGACGTGTTTTCAACCCCGGGTACGTTTATGAATTTCTGAGTGTGAACTTCAGTCTCACTTGCTGGTTAGTGCTGGTAAAAGGCCTCGAGGGCAAGCATATTACTCAGATCTCCTGCGGTCACCAACACTCCATTGCATTGGACAAAGATGGGTATGTCCGGCTTTCTCTCCCTTCTTCTTCCACTTAAATCTCTTAGGATTGTTTACGTTTGGGGATACAACGGGTACTGTCGCCTTGGGCTGGGTAACCAGCAAGACGTGCTTGTTCCGAAGGCCGTACCCCAAGTGCGCATACATTCAGCCCATATAAATAAGATAAAAATCTAACAGATATGATTTGGCTAGTTCTCGGGTCCGAATGAGATTTCGCGGGGAGTTTTCGTCGCTGCGGGTCCTTCGAACTCTATTGTGATAGACAGGCAAAAAATGTATTACATGGCTGGGAAGGTCGGTAACTTCGCTTCTATCGTCAATATTTCGCAGAAATAATGGGAATCAAATTCTTATAGTGGAAAAATAGTGGTGAAGGTATGATTAAATCTTTCCGGAAACGTGACAGATAAAACTACAACTTTTCACGTTTCTAGGTTCATCCGGGTCTCCATATTCCTCCTTCCGATACATACAGGACCTAATGTTGTTTTTCTACCTTCTACTTCTTCCTTGCATGTTCTAACTTGTCAAAAAACCTTGTTTCAGGGGCTGCAAAATATACCGTGCCTGCAGTGGGGGTGTAACGCACTTCGCACTCGCACCTGATGAAGAAGCCACTGACGGAGGTGTAATGACCGTCGCATTCGGCCAAAACGCTGCAAATTGGGAGCTAGGCTTTGGTGCGTCGGAACCGAAGAGTGCGACGAAGCCAACAAGGCATCAACTACTTATTGGTATCGACGTTATTGAGTATGTTTGCAGCTTGATCTTCGACGTTTTCAGTCACTCTTTTCGAAAATTGACATTCCAACTGGCTAGCATTGCCGCGTCACAAAACACAACTCTCTTCCTCGCCCGTCCGAACGAGAAACTGTCTGACCTGCCTCGACACCCCGTGGAGGTTGACTCACCTGACGAATGTGTAGTGTGTAATAAAGATCGTGGGGAAGATGACTCGCCGTTGGAGTGCGACAAGGTTCGTTGTCTGAAACTTTCCAGATATCGACATTAGTATCCTAATACAATGATTACCTGTAATTTCAGTGCGACCACCCGTATCATCTCTCCTGCCTCACTCCTCCACTTTCAGCTGTACCCGAAGGCGAATGGTTCTGTCCCCGATGCGCTCCATCTTCCATACCCCCTCCTGGTACTGATGCCAACACCTGCGAGAAGGAAGATGCTGAGCCTGTCACGGCTGGAGAGGATGCTAGGGAAGAAGGTGGTGGGGAAGACGGGACGGAGGAGCGAATGAAGCGCAGTAGATCCTCAGGTGGTCAAAAGCGGAAGGCTCCCGAACCAAAAGCTTCAAGTACGCATTTCATCTTTCGTGGGTTCCTTATTATTCCTAATGAGTTTCCTACGCAGCTACGAAGCGCAAGAAGTGAGCATCGAGGTGAAAAGGGCTCAGCTCGAGAGCAGGCGTGGTTTCTTTGGGCTTAAGGTATATGCATATGGTTTGATTTGGCTAACACCGTCTTTTTTGCATTCCTTCCATTATATTGCGCTATGTGTTCCACATTGTCTATTATGAATGTTACATACATTAATACCCTGCGTTCACATTGATATTCCCGCAACAGCAAGTCGCTTGATGGGCTGCAAAGGCAACGTTTTCTGGCGTGGACTTGTATTCAACGATAGCGACAATTCTCTCATGGTCTTCATGGGAAGGTAAGATGTCGGTATAAAGGCCTGCTCAATGTACGATGGCTATTCAGACTGGGCAAAGATACACATACTATGGAATCAGAAATAAAATACAAAATAACCATATATCGGTCAAAAATGGTATGCATATACAGAAGTACGACAGAAGCGGCGTCGGTTTGGTCTGTATGACTATGAATCTTCGTTATGCATGATCTTAGTCCAGTCCTCCCCGTGGTAGACCTTCGTCCAGTCAATAGCCATGAGCCGACCATTCTCATTGTTTGGAATGCGCACTTGGCCCGTACCACACAACGGTATCCGATACTCTAGAGGAACCCATGAAAACAAACCTCCATCCAACGTTCGGATCCAACCGTCGCTTGGTATAGACAAAGGATGGCTTGTCTGTTCAATCTGATCAATCCGCCCAGCCTTGCCGAATATTGTTAAGAAACTTTGCGTTTCTGTATCCCGCCGACTTCCGTTTAGAGTCATCACTAGAATTGGCGTTCCGCTGTGAGCATCCCAAATTCGTATCGTTCCGTCACTGGACCCTGACATGATTTTGCTCCCGTCCGGCGAGTACGCAACGGACATAACTGAACTTTTGTGGCCCTTGAGAGGCTCGCCAATGTATTCCCTCGTCTCTGTGTCCCGGACCTGCAGTGTGCCGTCCCAAGAGCCCGATACAATTCTCTTCCCGTCGGGCGAGTATGCAACAGTCTTCACCGAATCGTTTCGACCCTTGGGAGGTTCACCGGTCAGTTTTCCGGATCGTACCACCCAGGTCCGCAGCATGCTGTCCAAAGTGATTGGCGCAGTTCTCCTCTCACCTTGCGAAGATGCAAAGGTCCTGACCCAGTCTCCGTGACCTTTGTGAGGCTTGCCGATGGGTTCTCCTGTCTGAGCATCCCACATCCGCAGTGTATTATCCAAAGAACCCGACATGATCCTGCTCCCGTCAGGCGTGTATGCGACCGCCACGATCGGATTGTTGTGTCCTTTCAGTGAGTCACCGATAGGCTTTCCGGATTGTGCATCCCAAATCCGTAGCGTGGTATCCGAAGAACCCGAAACGATGGTCCTTCCATCTGGCGAGTATGCAACGGACTTGACCCAATCCGAGTGCCCCTCCAGAGGCCCACCAATAAGTGCACCGGTCTGTAAATTCCAGATCCGTAATTTTCTGTCAGTAGAGCCGGATACGATTTTGCTCCCATCTGGGGACCATGCAATTGCATCGAAACTGAGCAGGTGACCCTGGTGCTCTTCGCAAATGGCGACACCGCTATGCGCGTTCCAAATCTGCAACTTCCCACCGGATGTGACAGAAACGGTTTTCGTTCCATCCGGCGTGTACTTGGCAGAAGCTATATCGCTTGTGTCCCCTTTGAGCACTGAAATGTCGGCTTCACGCAGAAAACGGTCGCTAAGTTTGGTCTTGTTCCCCGAAAACTCGTCAGAGGCGACGATCGTCTGCAGTGTGAAATTACAATGTAAGTGATGTGCAACGAGTGAGTCCGGCGACAACCATGTCAGGGCGGATATGTACAAGTGAGGTGTGCTGGTAGCAATTGCGTCACGGAAGGAACATATGAAGTGTTGTAGTTCTGTTGCAGCACGAACGATCTCATGCACGCCCTGGCATTGTTCCGGATTATGAGCATTAACATCAATAGATGAAGAAGATCCTACCTTGAAGCAGTCGGCACACTGCGAAAGAATTTCCTCTCCGTTTTCCAGCGCTCCCATAAGGCTCAGGATTTCGATCCAAAATAGCGCCTTCGGAGAATAGAGCAGCTCCGTCACAGAGTTGATAAATGATTGAGCATCACTGGACTGTAGGATATGATCCATCCAATACAAGCTGCTATACCGGAGTATCTTCGGGATTCTCTCCGCGGTCTTAGAGGCTAAGTTCATGACCTCAGAGTTCGGCAAGTACGAGGACGCCAGTCCACATATGTTGAACTTGAGTTGCGAATGCATCTGATCAAGGCAGCCTCGTGCCAACGTTGTGTTAAACAATCGTACATGCTCCCCAAACTGTTCCGTCTGCTCCTGATCCGACGACAAGGGCAACACTCGGCGCAATAAAAACACACTGCGCATCGGATAGCCATAACAATTGAATATGAGAGGCTCGATAGAGGTGACTGCGGTGCGCAATACATCCGATGCTTGTTCCTTTCGGAGAAACTGCAAGAAATGAGAGGATAGATTGCTGATCAGTGGCGATCGAGTCGCAGCAGAGGCGAGTGCGAGGATATCCCTGACGATTGGTTCCATGTTCTCGTCCCAATCATATCTGTCCAATATGCCACGAACTGCCGCATGAAAGAATCCATCTATCCCTAATTGTGAGGGAAAATCCTTTATTGAGCCGTCGATTTGGGACCTCGATTTACTATCATGCATTCGGAACGCCCAATAAAACCTAGATAGAAGCTGAGGCGCCTTGTATGCCGAATCACAACCCCATGTATGTGAAATTCTGCGGTCCTCGGTGCAGTACTGTGAATACACTGCTATATCATTTTGTAAATCAACGAAATGGTCTTCGATATCGAGGTATCGAGTGTCGTCTTGCAGAAAACATTCCTCGAACTTCGGCCACTTTGCGCTAGTGACAAAGACCTTGAGCCAAGGTGCTGCGTTCGCGATATGCCTAAAGAATTCGGCTAGGTAACGCCGAGAGCTCGCAGATTCGCAGCATTCATCAATTGCGTCGAGAACCACAATTAGCGGTCTGTGCTTCGGAGGCGGATGGATGGTTGATCTAACGATTGGCTGATCAATGAGGAGATCGTATTGGCATTTTAGCCCTGCATCCAGGTCCAGTTCACCTCGGCCTTGAAGGACATCGATAATAATAAGCCGGTAGCCCTCATGCCACTTAGCGAGTTGATATGCGATTGTAGGCAAAATTCGCTTGGGAGAGCGACGCTCGCAATCGTTCGCATCGCAAAAGAAGCATCCAGCAAGACGATTTTGTTGATCAAAAAGGCGAGCAACAGTGTGCGCGATCGTCGTTTTTCCGGAATAAGTAGGACCATAGAGCCAGAATAACTTCGCGTCAGATGTCGACCAATCTTCTATCACCTTTAGTGTATCTTTTCTTGTTCCTTCGAAACAGGTTTTTTCCAAGTCATAAAAGGCCGCTTTAACTGGACGCAGATTGTTGAGAGCTATCAACTCAACAAGTTTCTCTGAAGATGCGTTAATTGAAAACAGAGCCGTGAAGTGAATCGATCATACCTGTCCTTAAGGTTGCTTTCCACACCTCGGTCTTTACGCACCAATCGAATGTCTCTTTCAGCCTTCTAAGCTCTTCTTTGTAAGCATTAACTTCATGGATCCGATTCCGTAGAAATATCCCTTGTCGAATGATCGGATCAGATTAAGGATCAGGCAGAGACAAGTCTGGATTTACCTAGGGCAGTATCGTCTGAATACTCCATTATCATCATCGAGATCTTCTCGAATAGAACGAGGATCTTGTGAACGGTCTCCGAAGTTACGTTGGACTTCAGGCGATTCCTAGGGACGTCAACAAAAGGAAGGAACGATGCGACTTCTACCATTAACGATGATGCGACTTTGTGACACTCCTTTACTTCATTGCACCTCTGAAAGCGACAGTCAATGATAAGTTCTCCCAGAAAAGCTAGCCTTTCACCTCGTAAAGTGCTTTTACGACTGCCACTGCTGCACCCACAGCTGGATGCACCTGATAAATTCAAATGTAACCAAACTTACTTATTCGAAGGAAAAAAAGTCGGGCTTACGTCACATGCGAGTTCGGATGTGGTAACAATGTAGTTTAGGACCTCGCATACTTTTCCAAGGCTTTCCATGAATTCTTTCATGGTTTTCATCCTTGCCTGGGATTCTTCAACAAGCAGGTGGATCCATTCGATAAACTGCGAGAATGGAATCAGACATATTGTACCACATTGCTCAATTACTCACAGGCCCGCTAACTACGCAATGAATGAGCACTGATAGTTTCTTCTTGTTTGGCTCTTCAGGATAACGCATGAGATTTGGATAAGAGAGATATATCACTTTCGCACCGTCAATAACAATAATGGGCCGCACAGCCATGTAAGCATCAATTGGGATAGAAACCTTGCATAGTTTATCGGGATGTAGCTTGCGATGTTCACGGATCACAATGGTGATCTTCGAAGGAGGTGCAAGCCGTCTGTGATTGAAGGCAATCGTTATTATGTACTGGTGCTCCAACCGTTGACTTTACACCAACTTCTCAAAGCTCCACTTGATGTTCTCGTGCGGGCCATAGCGAGGCGAATCAGTCCGCCCTTCATCATTGACTTTGGCTACCAAGGAGACGCATCGTTTTCTACGCATCGATTTGTACTTGACTTCAATGCCTGCGAGTTAAGAGAAAAATCAGCATGGTGGGAGAACAGTCAACGAAGACCAATTACATTGAATATGTATTGCACTGCACAGCGGCGATGGAGCAATGTAAGAGAATGTGCATCGTTGCAAGGCTTGTCGCGCTTACTGAGACATATTTGTAGTCACAACCTCCGTCGCAGCGCTACTTGATATGAGAGACATAGCCTACAGTCGGCTTTGTGGGATCAGACTAGGATGATAATGGTTGGGGATCAGTTGGCGTCACCCAGAAGAGGCAGTGTACTGAAATATTGATGACCAATAGCTGTATTACAACGTGGTCTGTAGAAACCGCTTGGGAGAAAAAGCCCACCCTCTGATGTACCACATGAGGAAAAAAAAACAGTTATGTACAACAAGTACACTGCTTCATGTTGGCTGTTAGGAGCAGCACCGAAAAGAAGATCGACGTGCGGAACCTAATTTGACGAATGACTAGTGCCCACATTCCCACGATCTGTCTCTCAATGGTTGTCAATGCATCTCTCGTAGCACACGCAGTGCTATTCATATTTGTAGCAACTCAGCTCAGAGATGTTATATTCAATTCCCTGAATTACATGTATTTTCCGGGGCACAGGTACTATTTTAATCAACTGAATGCGATCAACACTAGGGATCCGAATCGTACCGTACAGTACGGTTACGACCCGTTTCGGTCACGGTACGATCTGTACTCGTCGGACTTTGAGACACCAAATACGGCTCGTATAAAACGGGCCGTATCCCGTATCCTATTAGGCCAAATACGGCCGTATACGGCCGTATACAGAGTACGGACATCCAAAGAAGATTTTCAGTATTAATAACATGTGTAGCACAATTTATAACTATTTCTTCTCTTTGTATACCTTATAATATACCTTTTATACATAAAAACACCAAATTTAGCTAATCTTGGGGTCAATGTATTAATATTATATTATTTATCTTCTCAAAATAGTTAGTCATGTGACTATCTTTTATTACTTCATACAAATTATATTTCAGATTTACTGAATATATTGATGAAAATGGGCATAACAAGTGATAATTTGATAGGGACATACATATAAAGTAATAATAGGCCTTTTTAACGATTTTAAAGTATATTAATTATTTCTTTCTATTAATATAATATTAAATTTGTATTTACAAGCGTATTACCGTATACGGCTGTATACGGTACACACCGTAGCCGTACTTGTGTCCTAGAACTCAAAAAACGGTCGTATTTTTACGACCGTACCCCGTACAGACCCGTACAGAGTACGGTCGTACCCGTATACGGTACGCTCGGATCCCTAATCAACACGGAGAGAACAAATAAAGACAAGTGCGAACACGGCTGGTCCACCACGCCCATAAATAATATTAATCTAACAAATAAATCACAGACCGATCAGATAACGGTGCTGCGACTGTCCACAGACTCTTCATGTCTGCAAAGCCTCCAATCAGTTACTTAGACCTGACGTAGATCAGGGAAACAATGTACCGTGACGAAGCAAGTCCAAGATATAATTCTTTGTGTGCTGGTAAGGCATGCGGGCCTTGCGTAAATGACTGAGCACTTGCACAAGTTGCACTTCCCGGTCCGCGATTGGATGACTCAAATGCTGCTGAGTTGTTATCTCCCACTTCTTTGAGGCGTAGAAGCATCTGGCTTCCGAGAACGGTTAAAAAAATGGGCGAGCCAAAATAGCTCACAACGTTTAGTGCGAGCCAGTTCTTGATAACTTCCTGTTCAACGAGTATACGGAAAACGCAACATAAAATAACACTGTTCGAGTTATTTGTGAGTTATAGCAACTACGGCTGCAGCAGACGTACAAAAGGTAATAAATCCCTTGGTCCAAGACTAAAATCTTAAGCAAAGAAGAGCGATTTCGTGATATTTTCCGAAGACGATTGGCTCTATGCAGAGCTAATCCGAGTAATATCAAGCCATAAAGCATTGGCAGGATCCTATAAGTCGTGTATTCTGGTGAGACACGTTATTTGTACTGAAGGCATATTGATACTTTACCATCGTGCAATGTAGACAGCTGGCGGCGGGCTGTTCTTCTTGTCACAAAAGCTGAAGTTTGGCTCGATATGGACAACAAGGCCTTAATCAAAGGTTTGAAAGATCGCACAGAGAACGATCTTCAGAAAGCGCGTTAACGAAGGCAGATATTTAGTACTCACTTTTCATTCTAATATTGATATACAACTGAAGTGCCAGATGAATAAGTGCCTCCAAACAGAAGAATATCATGAGGTATGTTTCAAGCTTCTTGTCTGTCAGAGGTATATGTTAGTGTCTGTAAAACCAAGGAAAGCAGACACACTTTTACTGTAGAGAGCAACGACTCGCATGAGAAGAATGTCTGAACATTCCACATTCGGCTTTGAGTGTCTCTATTTAAAATGACTCGAGAAAGAAACCGTACAGTCAACAAGTGTCATGCTTATCCAAGCTGTTTAATGGTGAGCCTCTTGGGAATAACTGGAGTGGAATACATATTACCAGTCAAAGTGGCAATCCACGTAGTTGAAACACCTGGACGTACGTTCAAGGTTTAGTGCCAAAGTTTCATATTGAAAGAAAGAATAACTTACAGCTGCGAATATTAGAAAAACATAAGGTCAGTGTCAGTTTTGTTGTGCTTAGAATTTAAACTCTTACGCCATAAGGCTTTCATGAACCATGTCTGTATCTGAGTGTATCAGATAAATTAGCACACAGTTTTTTTGCTACTAATTCGTGAGTACATACATGCGAAATTGGACAGGGCAGACAATATTCCAATGTACCGAGTCTAATATAGCGGTTCAGTAAAGTCCAGAAGAAAATGCGTTTCACTCACTGCGAAGTAAATCCAGCTAACCAATCTTCCAGGATGGTTCTAATGTTTCCTATTGATGAATCACCTGTAACCCGAAATTCTACACATCATAATGACTTGCCCAGAAAAATTTTATCTTCAAAGCATAATTACTAGATGTCCATGCTTAGACGGATAAAGGCTTACTTCTTTATCGATGGAAGTGACTACAGGAACTCATTTATTAACACATAGGATAACATTGAAGATATTCAGCTTACACGTGGTGTAGACCAGCACTGTCGCAAGAGCAATCTGCACGTATGTTTGTGTACGTGTTTCTGATATCAAGGTCATGGCTAATGGTGGAGTGAGCACCTTCAAGCCCGAACGAATAGCATGAACTGCATCCTCTCCAAAGCATGGTGTGGACATTGCAAGCGTTAACTAGACTGGCTAGCTGGAGGTAGTGGTGGTTCGAAAGAGAGGAGCTCCAGCGCCTAGGATGCCAGTGCGTCTATACGTAGGGCATTGCTTTACGAATAACGGTATTCGTGTGCTCCGATGCAGGCCATCAAATCTAAATGGCATGTATCACGATTGACGTGATGTGGGAAGTAGATATCCATGTTCCTAGTTTCGGAAATGATCAATACCAAGGTCCTGCTTGATAAAGTCGTTTTATAGACATGCAGCTCCAGAAATCATTCAACTGTGGTGGATACTAACACTCGACAGTCCGGAAAAGTGAGCTGGTCGTAACAACAAACCTCTCACAAAGTAAGTAGCTAGGAAGGATGTTTAATCCTAATTTCTTTCCTTTCGTCGAGATAGTAACTTAATCCAGGAGTTATTCATGGTGAGCCAACAGTTCTGTCAGAAAAATCGGAAGCATACAGACTTCCAACTTGTTGCCCGGGTTACTAGCTATCTGTCAAGGTATTAGCCATCTATCAGAATGGAACAAACCTGCATCCACAACAACAGGTATACTCACCAGATTGTGTATTAATACCCTAGTTTTCCTGTGCTGACCTTTGAAGGACGTTCCATCCTACTTGTCAGCAACAGTGTAGAGGGGACCCGAAGGCTCAGTAAGGGGACCCAGGCTACAACTATCCTACACAACAGAAATACAGAACACAAGCACCAGAACATAGTCAGAACTTGTAGAACAGGCAGAGAGAGAGAGTGAGACAAGAGTAGAGTATATAGAGTGAGCCTAAGAGTACAGGACTACCTGGAGTAGACAAGATCAAGACTACAGGACCAGTCTGATCTTGTATGCCTATATATACTAAACTACACAAGAGCACTCAGGGAGCATGAGCTACTAAGAATAATAAGCCACAAAGAATGAAAGAAAGGAAGGTCAAAGATAAAGGTACAAAGAATGAAGGGATGGACAAAGGGTAAGAGACTATAGAATAAACAAAGAATGAAGGGGTGGTCAAAGGAATGGGATGATGAAGTAAGGAAGGGTAGTATTATGAGATGATTAGTTCATCAATGGACGAACCACAAGACAATGACTTCATAATGTCTCAGTTAGAATACATACAATATAAGGACAAGAGACACTGAGTGGTCAATCATCACCTCACCCCTTGTCTATGCATGCCCCCCTTAAGTTCTCCCTCTCAACAGGTTATGAGCCTTGAGCTCCCTGCATACATGCATCCACTGTACACTCTAAACTCTTTACTTGCATACATTTGCACATATTCACATCATGGTTCCCCCATGTACAGATACACACTGTAAACCAGCTAATGTACCTAAATACTTCAGTCAAAACATTACAATGCTTAAGACTGAAGCAAACTACAAGATGTGGCACTACTGTATTGTTTCTAGTGTTATAGCTATGTGCTTTGAACACTTACTAAAGGATGAACTGTAGAACAAAGCTGAGAGAGAGATGGTTAAGGCTATTCATGCATGCATAGTAATAACATTACTAACCACAATATTGGCAAACTATATGCACTTCAATACATCTATCCCTCAGTTAATGAAAAGCACTTAAAAGAATG